CAATATGGAGATGTCAAAGAATTTTGAAATGTCGGATCTTGGAAAATTGACTTACTACCTTGGCATTGAAATGTCGGATCTTGCTAATTTTAGCAATTTATGTTGATGATTTATTTGTCACAGGTACAAGTTTGAGCATGATTGAAAGGTTCAATATGGAGATGTCAAAGAATTTTGAAATGTCGGATCTTGGAAAATTGACTTACTACCTTGGCATTGAAGTGAAACAAGAAGAATCGGGGATTACTATAAACCAAGAAGCGTATGCTCAACACATTCTAAAAGAGTCGGTTTACATGATTGTAATCCGACCCACATTCCAATGGATCCGGGAAATAAATTGTCAAAGGCCGAAGATGAACTCGAAATCGACCCAACACAATATCGAAAGGTGGTAGGATGACTTAGATATCTCTTGCAAACAAGACCCGATATGGTATATGCGGTTGGAGTTGTTAGCCGATACATGCAAAGTCGAAGAGAATCACATGGTGTTGCAATCAAGCATATCCTACGGTACTTACGAGGAACAATGGGATACAGTATCAAGTACGAGAGGATGGGACAAAACCGACTCATTGGTTATGGTGATAGTAGTCACAATGTTGACCCGAATGACGGAAAAGGCACAAAGTTAATGGTGGCCATGGCGACCGCATGCCAAGCAATATGGCTTCAAGATTTGCTCGGAGAAATCATGAACAAAGCGCAAGAGAAAGTGGTTCTTAGAGTTGATAACAATTCGGCTATCAAACTAACGAAGAATCTCGTTTTTCATGGAAGGAGTAAACACATTCACACGAGGTTTCACTTTATTCGTAATTGTGTTGAAAACGAAAAAGTGGAGGTGGAGTACATTCCCGATGAGGAACAAAAGGCGGACATTCTTACCAAACCATTAGCTCAAACCAAGTTCAAGGAAATGCAATTGATCGGGATTGAAGACGCCTCTAGAAGAACTTAGAGATTCATGGATGATTGTTAGAATCCTAAGTTTGAGGATCAAGCAATCCAATTTAGGCAATCTAGTTTTAGGAAACTATTTTACAAGTCAGTTCTTAATTTCCTAATTACAATCTAATACAAGTCACAATCTAATACAAGTCAGTCATTAGATCTATATATACATATCTTAATCAAGTTTTAGGATTAAGAATTCATAATTGTAACACAAAGGTTTTGAGTGATTTTCCTTTTAATCAAAGAGTTTGTTTGATTAATTGTGTCTCAATTTTATCTTGAATGTGACTATGTTGACGGAGAAAACGAAGACAGTGCCACTGAATTAGCTTTGGCAATTTCTATATGTACCTCCAATGTTGTGTACCCCCTACATGTGAGTGTAATAGTGTTTGTGCACCCCTACTGATGTGACAATGTATGTGAGTGAAGGAGGGTATTTATAACACAACCCTTAGCTTTCCATTGGATTCAAAACAGGGAGTCTAGACAAAGGACATTGTTAGTTTAATCATTGCCGCCAAGCTGATTCGATGAAGAGCTTTACAAATGCAATTATTTGTCTTTCAACAGCATCACTGTCAGTTTTTATAATTACCTTTACATAAGTAAATTATCGTAAATTATCGACTACATTAATGAGTATATAGTAAGCAGATGATGCAAGAAAATACAAATTTAGGCATTGATTTGTGGGACTGAAAAATTTTATTCTCTATTACTACTTCCGAAAAAAATAACTATTACAAACACTAAAACTTTGCGTCGTAATCATTAACAAATTACTCATTGTTTACTACAGACACCATTTCATACTCAACAGACTCCTGGAATCTCTTTGGAAGCATAAATCGACCACCAAAACGTTGCTGCAAGAATGCGATAACTGCAAACACAAAACCTCCACAAGCAATGGACACATCCCAAGAAGTTGAGTAGAAATCTGCTCTTGGATTTGCATATAAATAGAACCGATCAAACTGGCGACTGATGTTCTTTTGTCCCCTATAAAGATCATACGCATGAGGTAGTAATCGAACAAAAGTGTTCCCTATGTAAAACAAATAAGACAAAGCATTCCCTTTTGAAATCTGAAAAATGTTAAGTACGATTTGTGGAAACAAGAATCCATCTAGTGTTAACCCAGCATAAGACCTCAAATCACCCCAGATTGATCGATTACTTGAGATAATGTAATCATTGTCAATCCACTTCGCTAGCAACATGATCAATCCACCAATTATATAAATCGGTAAACAGATTACAATACTCCGTATCTCATGATTCCAATTTTTCTGTTCGTCATTCCCAGGTTTTGAATTCCATGTCAATTGGAGGAGACGGAATTGCAAAATGAAAGCTACCATTGTCACTATCCTCACAATCACTTCATTCACTTCAAGCAATCCACCACTACCCCCGAGTGGAATGTTTTGAGGGTAACGAGTGTTTGAAAACATTGCCTCGAAATTCAACACTAAAGGAACCATGTACCCAAGTGTAAGAATCACCATCATCAAAATCGAAATCAATGGAATCAATTCTGGATTCTTTTTGACATGAAAGAGTTGTAGCACGATAAATAAACACGAAAGTGTCACTGAAATCAAGTCCATGATGATTTCCAAATCCATTCTCCATATCGATTCTTTCGCTTCAGTTTCAGTGTAAGTGAGAGAAACGATACGTAAAGGATCAAAGTACAATGCATCTGATCTTTCACGTAAACTTTGTATACTTCCTTTAATCAAAAAGCTTCCGTTATTCCGTTCGATACGTGGGAATCGGAATCGCACCATAATCTCACAATCGAAAGATTCATTTCTTGATTCCTTGCTAGATGAATTTAGATTCCTACAACCAATCATACAAAGTCTCCCCGTTTGACTATCGTAAAACCCTTCCGCTGAAATCTCGACTTTACCATTGTTGGTAGAGGATAACAACGGAATCCCGCTTTGCAATTCCGATGAATTAACAAACGGACGGAATGTAATCTCGTAGCTAATGTTCATCGGACCGGTGTAACTGGTGGCGGCTGAGGGTGATGCCGCCTGGAATGGATTAGAATTTGAAGACACCACCGTATGTGAGTTGTAAAACTGATTTCCGACAAATATCGGAACTGCAGAGCCGGTGGAAACCATGTTTCCGTGCTTCACAGACATGTCGAAAGTCATATCCCAATTATACCCTGATGGGTATGCAATCGATCCCCAATTAGGAATCTTTCTTCCAGGACAAATCCGTCTTAATTTCTCCAATTTTGTAAACTCATACTTCGATCCATAATGATCGAAACTATGATCAAAGCTTTGAAACTTGATTGGTTCAAAGTACCCGACATCATCCGCTTTCTTGGTTGACCAAATTTGACCTTCGGTGGTATGTGTGTTCATGATTGACCGAACTTCAGGGAAATATAAGGTCAGCCTGACTGAACAATCTCCGACATGAGCACTTCCTAAAGGATCAGTTTGATTCAAGATATGGCAAGCTAGTATGCAAAGCTCGTTGTTTGTTCCATTCCATGTTCCATCTCCAATTAACGTTATATTTGGATTAAAAGATTGATCATAACGACTATTCCTTCTATCTTGAAATTCCACTAAAAAACGTAACTTTTTTTCATGTGGTGAACATTGAATCGCATATAACGATAAAAAAGAAGGCGAAAATGGAAAGGAAAGTGGGTGCCCAGTATCTTGATTCTCCAACTTGTAAGTCTTGAATTGATTTGTAAAAATCGAACATAAGTCTAAAGATTGCATACTAGCTACCGAATGTTCTTGAGTGAAATTACCGTTTTGCCCATTACACTCTTCGTTAGAAACCAACGAGTAGTTGTATTTGAACTGAGCTACACGAGGGAACCCGATCATCGAAATCGGCTCGAAGTAATCAGAATCTTGAACGGAAGCCAAACTCTCCAAGATTCCACTGACTAAACTATTATTCAAATTTATAAACCTGGCGAAATTAAGTTTAAGAACAGCATCAAGTTTAAGAGGTTTACCCTTTTTGGAAAACCAATGAGCGGATCCCACCATACAAAGCTTGTTAGTGGAAACTGACCAAAACCCATCTAAGTTAAACACCAATGGACGATAAAATCGTGAATAATTAGATTGGAAAACGTATATATTTGACGACATGAATCTTAGTTGGGCTTGGATTTTGTATGTGTCGAAGGTTTGAGTTCTAAAGAGGTTGTTTGTGGGTGTAAAAAGGATGGATCTTTGTGAGGGGGAATCAGGGCCAAGAATGTTTTGACCACCGGTGTAATGACTGGTTACGGGTTCGAGAAACGGGTATCGGGTGAATATGTTGGTGGTCGGAATGGCTTCGGGAGCAAAGGAATTACAGTGATCGGAATAGGAGATTGTTTGAGTTGAGGAAATGACTGTTGGAATGAGGATGAAGGTTAGGATGAAGATGGCGATGAAGGAATTGGATGGAAAGAGTGAAGGATTCATGGCTGGAATGGAATGGGAGATGGGGGGTTTGGTTGATGGTTGACTTGGTTTTGATCTTATAATGTGATTTTTAACTTTTTATAATGGGTTTAATTGTTTAATATATTGTGGTGACACCTTCCAAGAAACTAACATTGGTTTTGACGGGGTTAGTTAAAATTGTAAAAAAGAAATTATCCACAATACTTATGCGAAATG